TGAAGGGGTAAGCAGAGCATCGTCGCCCTTCCGCTTTCGCGTTGGGGAGAGGCGGTAGCGTCGTCGTAGTAGATAGTGAAAGTGGCTTTGTCACCACCGACACGGAATGCTGGAGTGGAGTTCGAGGAGCTCTGTCCAAACGAAGTCAGAACACATCAAACGTTGTAGAATTGGGCATACCATGGTGGGGGAGGCAGGCTTTTTTCGACCCAAAAATCAGGGAAGATTAACTGAGTGGTGCTGTTTCAGAAAAACATGAAACTGTGGCCTTTTATAAGCCCCAGCCCGTGCCAGTCACGCTTGGAAAAAGTTGTTTATTTCGTTCAACGCATCGCGCGTCAACACTGCCACTTGAAACCAGGATAAAAGGAAAATCCTGGCCCTCCGAGCCGGCCGCATCCCACCATGCTCCCAGAAAATTTCCACAATCACCCCTCTCCTCTTAATAACAGCCCCGTTCACTCTTGGGGCACCGGATCTCCTCTTGACTCTTCTCCCAACGATGCCGATCCTCTTTCTCTCAATAGTTTCCATCTCCCTGATAGGAGCCCCTCACCCTTCTCATTGTCGAATCAAGAACTTCCCAATACAACGCCTCTCATAAGGCCAGGGCTGGTCGACAACCTCGCAAATGATTTTGGACTTAACGACCAACAACGTTCGACTCTGCATGCCTATGTCCAAGTAAGTTTGTTTTCTTCATTGCAATTGTCTGAGACTTACCAGATAAACCCTTGCAGTTTGGGTCTGTCGAGGGTGGAATAGGCAAGGCAGAGATGCTGGCCAAACTATATGCCATGACAGTCAATTTTGACCTTTATAACCATCCAAAGATCATTGAAGACGAAAATAACGTGGAAACCCTTCGAAGGATGCTGAGAGATTTGGACGTTCGATTACAGACAACTTTTGCTGTGACGGCGTCGCAAACTGTAAGCAAACAGCTGCTTGATCTCTTTATTACTAACCTCAAACAGAAAACAATTCGTGCCGTGGTGACTGACCTCATCTACGATCCTATGAGAACTTGCTATCACGAGTTGGCGGCAGATGTCTTTGTGAGTAGTCTTTTTGCCCTTGTATAATTGAAGCCTTACCTCTCTTTAGGAGTCGCTTCGGAAGAACGCACAGCAATACCATTTCCACAACGTATTTGGAGTGCCTGGCTATGAGAAGACTCTGGAAACAACCATCGTTAAGCAATGTTCGAGCGTACGGAATAATTTCCGACAGCATGTATGTTTGGCATTACTCTTTGTAGCCAGGACTTACCAGTTTCAGTTGCGAGACGGGATGGCTGCTTCTGCTGACGAGTTTACTCATAAATTAAACAAGAAGTACCTTCGTCTCGGAGGCCCTAAATATAGCCTTGAGCAACTCCTCAATAAGAACATCATTTTGGTGAGTGTTTCGGTGCCAGTGGTCCAATGTGCACAACCTAACTGACATGGGGGTTGTGAGAGCAGAGAAATTATATACATGAAAATCCATCGTCAATCTGGGCCGAAGAAGAAGAAGGAGATGAATCAGATACAGACGAAAGCTTGGCTGTGGTGGAGGATGGCCGCAAAAAGAAGAAGAGAAAATTGAAGACCCATGGAGGGGGAAGGTGCCGAAAGGGTGTGATTTTTGGGGTCTGATAGACCGGTGGTTCAAGGAACAGCTGGACGAGAAGGAGCTGGGAAAGAAGATGAGCGATCCTCGGTGGAAACAGTGAGTAAATTGAGCTGCAGGACAATGCTGTCCACTGACCATGTTTGTAGAAAGATAGAGGGATTTCGTCGCCTCGACGAGGCAGGATTTAAAAACCTTGCTTCGCCTAGCAATACTACTACTCCAGCTCAAAGCCCTGCATTGAGAACAGGCACATCGCCCCCCACGAATACGATACACCCCACAAACCGTTTACTCTCAGGCCAACCAGTGGGGAACGGTGCACAACTTGGTCGGGGGATGCAAGCGCTTGCTTATATACGCTAGATAGTTTTGTGTGCCACAGTTTACCATAAACCATATGTTTATACCGTTTATCTTCAACCCTACACTGCTTCGACTCATGCTGAGGCTTGACCATGCCTGAGGCGTCAAAACGGAAGCAAAATGCGCTCCCGTGACTGTGATAAACGCGTGAGCTCTTTTTTCCACGGTTCATTTTTCTTTTCGTCCCACTCTTGTCCCCCCAAACCTTTCCCACTTCAATTGCGCAGCGCAGTTCAACATGGGTCTTCAACCTTCAACTCTCGAGTCTATCATAACTGCAATAACACCGGTGCCAATACCTGTTTCACATTTCCTCAACGTTTCCTCAACGCTCCTGCAACGTCAATGTATTCCTCAACGCCAATGCCTCCTCAACGTCAACGCCTCCTCAACGTCAACGCATCCTCAACGTCAACGCTCAATACTTCCTCAACGCTCACAAATACTTCCTCAATGCCTCAAAGTAGTTCAAGTTGGTCAATGTTTGTCTAGATACAGTTGGCAGGTTTCTCTTCGTGTGTACCTGTATCGCAATTTACTAACGATCTTTTATTTAGGCTCAGCGTAACTTTTACTGGTCTATAAAGGTGAGTTGCAATGTTAGGTTTTCTATACATCTATATTATCGTATACTACGTATCTGTACTACTATTTGTACTACGCTAATAATCATCAATATATGTTTTTTCTATTATTTCTGATCACGGAATGAACGGATATGGACGGAAAAAGATTCGGGTGCCAACGGGGAAGGAACAGAACGTGACTCGATGATAAAACCAGATGAAACGCGTATGTGGAGTCTGGGCCAAATCATTTTGTCCTGGGGCTGAACATTTTTGTACCTGGGTTAACCGTTAAACTGGGGCAATCTTATCATTTTTGCACTGCGCATCAACTAGGTTAGACCTCCCCTGAAAATTTCGGGGTTAAACTCAGTTTAACCCAGGAGGCCGCCTGTGTAATCAGCGCAAGTTTAACGACGGATCACTGCAAAATCGTCAACGACAGCGGAAACTGATGACAAAATCTCACTGCCTTTGTCTTGGTTGTTAGTGTTCTAGATCTGTGTTTTGATTCTAAGTACTGATTTCTACTGTCTTTTACGGATAACGAGTCGCTGCTATATTTAAAACGTACCTCAAGTCGAAAAAAAAAACATGGTTCTACTGAGCTCGGAATGGAAAAAAATATGGAACTCTCTATACATATGTAGACGGTAGACATATGGACTTGTTGAGACGTATATAGAATGTATATACAGTATGGTTCGAGTATTAAGGCGAATGAGGTCCTGCAGGTAGATGTGGATGTGTCCCATGTGAAGCAGGCGCTACATTCGCAAGTGGAATTGCCTGCAAAAGGGTTGCACGCAGTCGCTCCGATATCAGAACCTTATCTCTCTTGTCAGCCATCTGCTCAATCCATACCTTCCCCTCCTCCTTATACGTGAACGTCGTCAAAAACTCGTGATATTTTTCCTGGTGCTTTTGGATGGAGTCCTCATGTTCGCGCTCGTTAGAAGGGATGTGATCGTACACGGTAAATGTTACCGATTGAGGATCATCCATGGTCACGACGATAACTGCGCCGACGGTCATAGTAGTCCCAGGCACATGACCCTCGGTAACGACGACGTATGCTAAGCAATTAGTGTACCCGGAACAGAGCTTGCCTCCGGCGAACCAGAAGTACGCGATTTGCTTCGGGTCGTCAGGCTTTTCGGGGACCTTGGGATCATGTTCATCGGTGAATTTTAATTCCTTCGTCCAGTCATGATTGCCTTTTCCATGATTATTGTGCGTCGGATTGTTGTGTGTTGGATTGTTGTGCGTCGGATTAGTGTGCGTTGGACCATCCACCTCCGGGTCCAGGCCAAGGATAAACTCCGCAATGCGGGTCTTCATGGACCCTGGGACATTTACCTGTTTGACACCCTGTGCATCGACAACATTCACCTTGATCTTGGCGGGGAAAGTCAGTTAGACAGAATAGATGCATCATATGTATACAGCCTTACCATCCTTATGGTCGGCGGGGCAGCACACGCGGAGGAAATGAGTCCTGCGAGGAGGATGAAAGGCAGCCAGTGACTCGGATGGGATAGGAACATTGAGGGAGCAATGCAGGGAGTAATACAAAGAGTAATGAGATGCTCTTTTGTGAAGAGCGTTGGGAAGAGATGTTGCGGTAGAAAGCGGTGCGAGAGGAGTGAGCTGAACCAGCAGCGGGGGATAGTAGGAAGTGGCGCGAGGGGAGTGAACTGAACCAGCAGCTGGGGCAGAGTTCACTCTTTCGTTTGAATTCATATTCTCAATGCAAATGGGCATATGCACATATGATGAGTTGGCACAGACAGCTTTGCTAGTATCAGACTATCCCTGAAATTTGAAATCTCGCTTCTCGTTGTGTTTGATACAGGTTTGATAGCAAGCTGGACGGGAGTGCTTCGTTAACGAGTGTCTTGGTTGTTGGTATTTGTAGTTTGGATTTTTGCGGAGGAGAAGGCAGTTTTTTTTATGGATAAGTCACCGCCGTTATATTTACTATCAGTTAGGACGAACAAAAGGAACAAAACAGGTCAGTGATCGGAGGCGGGCAGGTGACTCACGACATCGAAGCGATAGTTGAACATTAAAGACTTAGAGTACTTACTCGGTGGGCAAAAAAGCAGACCTGAGGACTTGCCTGAGGATCTTCCGCAACAGGCCGCAGAGCATGATTATGGGCAGTAGTAACGCACTTCTAAAAGGACTTGATAAGGACTTTGGAATTGTAAGCTGCTACACGCGCTACGTCTAAAGTATTGCCCAAAGTGAAGACTTCACGGGAACTTTGATCCTGGAAGTCAGAAGGCATTACTGTATTATCAATCTGAGAGGAAAGGCCCGGCTGTAGACAGTGATACGCCGCGAAAACTTGAGTGTAATATACATGTACAAAAGCAATCGAACGTTGAAAGGGAATACATTATTTGAAATGCAAGTCCAAAAATTCTAATGTATCTATATGCGCCATATTGCCTCCTAGCCGGATTGAACGACTGACCTTTGCATTGCATACTTCCAACTACAAATACAAGTGCAACGCTCTACCACTGAGCTAAGAAGGCAGTACCATACTGCTGGCGCTGTGGCCGTTGAAAGGGGAAAAAGTCAAATGCAAGTCAAAAAATCTGGCAACTAGAGTTTTCAACCTTCATTACCTCCTAGCCGGATTGAACGACTGATCTTTGCATCGTATAAGGATCGTCATTTTGAAAGTCTCATACAAGTGCAACGCTCTACCACTGAGCTAAGAAGGCAGTTGCCTGTAGATTGCCAAAAGCCAAGTAAGAGCATCGATAGGCCAGCGTTATCGCTACACCCATGATCAAAGTCTCTTACACACTCTCTATGGTCACTTCAAAAGGGTTAGGAATTCACATTTATCAAACCCAAAAGTAATCCATAACGATCCTATTCAGATAACAAGCAGCCTTAATCTCCTCGCTGCGGCGTTCCTCGGGGAAAACAAGTCCCAACACGCGATCCCATCCCGGCGATGCCCATTCCGGGTTGTGCATCCTGCAATACTCCCAATATCCCGGCCAAAATCCCGCCGTCGCCCAGTCGATAACGGCTGTGATAGTCGTTCCATCCACCATGATATTCCGCGGGAGCAAATCGGCGTGCGCGAACCGTATTGGGGCGTGACGAGGCAGTTTTGACAACAGGTCCTCCGTGAACTTTTCGGTGCAAAAGTGCAGCAGGATATAGCGGTACATGTCGATGAACTCGGAATAGGATGAGAATGCGTGAGATGGAAGAACGTGTGGCGGAAAAAAGCAGTTGTCGTATCGCTTTCCGGTGATGGAGCCTAGGGTTTTTGAACGAGGGCGCTGCATCTCGGCGAGGATAGTTTGGAGTTGGGAAGCGATGTGGGTGAGTTCCTGGAGCGTCATGGTATCGATAACCGTGTCCAGAGAGACCCCAGGGCATTTTTCCATACAGACATACCATATGCCCGAAGGTTGACGTTGACGTTGATGATTAGTTCCACCATATGGGGATCCTCGACGGAGAGGCGGGTGATGAAGAATTCGCGGGACACGAAAAGAAAAATGCTTGCAAGCATACTGCATCGCACGGATCTCTTCTGCGAATTCGCCTCCTCTGTACTTGATCAGAACGTTGGGAGCCGACTCGACGACTACTCGGACATAGCCTCTGTAGATAGCATGATTCGATAGAAGCTTCTCTAGATCTGCGTAGGTGCGAGGGAGCCAGAGGTCTGATGGTTGTTTACTTTTACGTCTAGAGTTGCGCATGGGTATCGAGTTGCGTGAGTATCTTCAATGTCGCGAGTGCATTAATATAAGCCTAGAAAGCAGCCATTGTACTTGCAGTCGGAAAGCACGTAGAAGGCACGTAGAAGACGGTGGATACAGTGAGAACTCGAATTTCATTTTATCATTTTTCCTACTCCGAACCAATGATATCGTGGGAACCCTACGTGAGGCTCATGTGGTCGCGTAAGCGCGTAAACGCGTTCAACAGAATATCAAGTTTTTCAACGCGTTTTCCTGAGGTTTTCGTTAAACCTCGATTCATCACATATGCATCAGCGTTCATGCATATCATGGCCCATTATTAGCTACTACTGTTTGCTTGATAACTGCCGCATGGCTGAGTTGGTCACAGCGTCCGACTGTTATAAGTACAGTATTGTGTATGATAACATCGGAAGGTCGAGAGTTCGAGCCTCTCTGGGGCAGTTGCTCCATAAAATCTGTACTGAAGTTTTGGATGTTTATTATCCTTTTTATATGTTCCCTGAGTCCTACTTCTCTAGGTTCCGCCGATGAGACAACTATTAAGTATCAGACTAGGCGGCTTGGTCGGATAATGGTTTAAACTGGTACTCTTCAAAGTCAAGTCAGAGGGGAGTCAGAGGGGGTTAGCCTATAGTAGTAGATTGGAGCTAGTCCAAACCTCATGACCTTTCATTGACTATCACTACTAACCACTTGATAACTGCCGCATGGCTGAGTTGGCCGCAGCATCCGACTGTTATGTTCCATGCGCCTATATCACTGTTGCTCTAACATCGGAAGGTCCAGAGTTCGAGCTTCTCTGGGGCAGCTTATTTAACCAACCTAGAATTTCATGATGTTTTTTTGGAGTACACATCATTGTTTGATTCTGCTGAAGTTTCCCGATGTTATCTTTTTATTCCTTTTTTTTCAAGTGTTTCCTGAATCCTAATCCTCTAGGCCCTGTTAAGACTGACTTCAAGGCTGCTTGGCTTCCGCATGGGTAACAGTTTAAACTGGAGTCTGGTACTCTTCAATCAACTATCAAGTCAGAGGGAAGGAGGGGGAAGGGGGCCATAGGGGGGTATTAGCCTAGAATTGAGCTGGTCTATGACCAGGCAGTATCATTAAATATTACCAACTGCAAGATAACTGCCCCATGGCTGAGTTGGTTACAGCGTCCAACTGTTATGACCAAACCCAGGCTAAAAGCACTGTTACCTTAACATCGGAAGTTCGAGAGTTCAAGCCTCTCTGGGGGAGTTAATTGCTCAGTTTTCAAATTTTGGATGTTCCATGTCCTTGACTCCTTGTTCTTTTTTTGGGCCAAGTGTTTCCTGAATCCTAATCCTCTAGACTCTGTTAACTCTTAAGTAATAAGAGTGTTATCAGACTTGGGTAGCTTGGCTGCTTCAGTTGGGTTGCACATGGGTAAAGTTAGGCTTAAACTGGTACTCTTCAAAGTCAAATAAAATCAGAGGAGGGGGGGGGGAGGGGGAAAACTTGAGAAGGGCTAGCTCAAACTTCATGACCTTTCATTAACTATTGCTAACTATTTGATAACTGCCCCATGGCTGAGTCGGCAACAGCGTCCGACTGTTATATGTGTTCAATGTAATTACCGTTGCTTTAACATCGGAAGTTCGAGAGTTCGAGCCTCTCTGGGGCAGCTGACCCAGGTAGTACTCAGGCTATCAGCAAGTTTTTGGATATTTCAAATTATGTATTCTCATTCTTTTTTTAAAAAAATGTTTTCCGAGTTCCTTCAAGTTGCTGAATCCTGATACTCTAGGCTCTGTTAAGACTGTTATCAGTGATCACACTTGGCTAGTTCAACAAGTTTAAACTGGTAATCTTCAAAGTCAAACAAAGTCAAGTGGCAAGCCAAGTCAGGGAGAGGGGGGAGGGAGTGGCCCGAGAGGGGGGAGGTTGGCTTAGAGTGGAGCTGTTGGAGAGTACTCCATATGTACATATTGAGACGCATATATGCAGCTTTGACTATCCTTGTTTTGTATATGCTGTACTTACTTTAAGTACTTACAGTAGTATACTATAAGTATATGGAATTGAGGCGACTGGAACAACTCAAGTAGTATCACTGCTGTTATCAATTGAGCAAAGGGTAACAGTAGGATTTTAATTTTTGGCCGGAGTATTGGGAGTATCGCAGGATGCATGTCCCAGAATGGTGTTCATGATTGCCGGGATGGGGACGTGAGGAGGAGATCCTTAGTAGGAGATCTTGGTGTTAGTTATTAATTTGAATAGGATTGAATAAAAATCAGATAAAATATTATTCTACAACTTGATTGTACTGGCGTCGTAGCCACCCCATAGACATTCGAACTCTCGAGTTCCCAATTTTAAGTAATTCGCAACAGTTAGATGCTGTAAACCAACTTAGCCATGGGGCAGTTAATGATACTGATACTATCCTTAATAGCAGGATGATATTATTGTGATTGATACTAGTTCTGATAACAGAGAATTTCAGGAAAGAATAAAAATTGAAAGATTTTCGCAGTTAACATCATGAACTGCCCCAGAAAGACTTGAACTCTCGACCTTCCAATGTCACCGAATAAGCGGATCAATAACAGTCGGACGCTGTGGCCAACTCAGCCATGGGGCAGTTGGGGAGCTTGGTAGGAAGGGGTTAGTAGTGTGGCTTGATAGTGCACTTACTCTATAGGATGTAGCTTGTAGCCTTGTTGGAAGCTCTGAAAATGGTGATTACAGAACTACTTACGGTGGGGTGTTGAGATTTTGAGTGGGAGGCTTGGAGGATGCATTGATGAGAATTTGATAGTCATTTGAAGTTTTCCTGCATGTAATAAGTATCAAATAATCAAATAAGTATGATTATAAGTAAATATGTACTAAAAAGGTTGTGAATGGTCACCAGAATGAGAATCAACGAAGCGCGTTGAAATTGCAAGCAGTGCTTTCAAACACGCTCACGTGAGGTCCCCACAGGCCAGAGTATGAAAAACATCCTGCCTTCCGACTGCCAACTGCTAGCACCATGGCTACTTCCTATCCTAGCACACCCGCCATTTAAGATAGTCATGTGCAACTCTAGATGCAAACAGCACCGACAGCCAGCTGCCACCAGATCTCTGGCAGACAGTCTCATACCGACACATGCTATATATGGGTAGTCACGTCCTGACCAACTACGTGTTGTAAATACTCGGCGCAGGGAACTGAATAAGCCGTGAGGCTTGAGAGATAGAAGAGAACTGGATAACTACTATAGATACTGGCTTTGGAGAGAGCCTTATATACTGTACATACTGTATAATATTGCTAATACGATGAGTAAGGATACGGACATATGAACATACCGATCCGGCTACCTAATCTCCGGAGTTGCCACATCGGCAATATACAACACTACGAAGGTGAATTTGCGGAAGAGACCTGTGCGATGCTGTATGCGCGTAAGTATTGTCAATGTTTTCTTGTCCTATGAATCATTAACATTATTTATCACCCGACACCTCAAACCCTCACTGAGGATCCTCAGATTATGCAACTAATGATTTTGGTACATCTATATGGAAATATGGTCCAGATTCTTAGATGCGGTTATCAATACCGTGACACCCCAACCCACCCACATCGCTTTCTGAGCATCCTCTCTGAGATCATAGATGTAGCACCACTGGAAAACAATTAGTACTCCAACTCGTTTTTTCTACCCCAAGTTCTCTTGTCCCATTTTGAGTTTATAGACTGGCATCTGCTTTGTTCACGGAGGAAACTCTCTTAACATGCACCAACGTGGTTCGCTGTTCATTAACTACTACTAACTACTTGATAACTGCCACTTGGCTGAGTTGGTCATAATGTCCGACTGTAAGAAGGTCGAGTCTCTCGGGCAGTTATGTTTTTATCAAGTTTTTTTTTATTGTTTATCATCCTTTTTATTCTTTTTGTCAAGGCAAGTTGGGGGTGTTAGCATATTTAGGCTGGAGCTGTTCATTGTTCAAGGAGATTACTCACTCGTATGTACATATTGGGACTCGTGCATACAGCTTCTGTTTTGTAAATACTGTTTACTTTATACTGTGTAAGGAACGACTATCGCTGCTGTTATCGATTGGGCGACAGCGGGATTTTGGCCAGTTGCAGAACGCATAACCTGTAACGGAGTTCGGGGATGGGGACGTGCGCCGTGGGGAGAAGATAGTGAGTACTTGAGCGTTTGTTATTGGAAATTTGGAATAAGGTAATTTCTAGAGTTCCGGAGGAGGGATAGATGATGGAAAGCCTGACGGATAGATTACCGGAAGCATAGTGATGCCTGATAATTATATAGAAATTGGGGGACTCTAAATTGCTCGGGTTACACCAGAATTTCCTATTTGGAGCTAAAGAGCGTTCCTAGCTGACCTCGTCGAGTATTTCTATTTTTAGAGATCGGGTTCGACCTCTGATCTGATCTGTTTGAATTTGTGAATGCTAGGAGATGCTAAGTGGAAGAGTGAAAGGGTGAAGCATACGACATGGCAGCTCTACCGATGATGCTAAGTTCCGACTCTTTCACTATCGGTCTTTTCTTCTACGCCATCTTCTCGGCAAAGTAGTTACACCAGTGAAGTCATACACCTCATACATGTATGACAGAAACTCTATCACATTTCAATCTTGTACAAGATACGTATCACCGATACGACTATGATGGTTATACATTCATGATCAACATCATTTCAAGCCAATCCCTTATTCAAATCCCCGCTGCTTGTTTCAATACCCCTACTGATGCACATCGATGCACCTCCATGATGTTCCACTAGTCAACACGGCGAAAATGGAACAACTGAGGATCTGTGCCTAGAGGAGGGCTAGTTGGGAGGAGTTCGAGATCCTCAACAGTAATCTAAATAAAAACAAAAAAAACGCTGTCAAACACATGCGAAAATTCCGAATTTTTACAACAACTTGCATGCTGTGTCTCTGGGTCTTGCTCGGGGTCCAGCGTCCAGGCCCAGGCCTTCCAATTTCCGCGACGCTGGAAGATGCTTAGAATAAATGACCAGTCAATACACGCAAATTTCGAATTAAAAGCAACTTACGCATATACGTCTGGGCGCTCATTGCCACGGTCGAAATTCATGAATTCCCACTCAGTATTTTGAGCCGGATTATTGGTCGCGATTACGAGGTTGTCATCCTGAGCACCAGAATACAAGTAAACACTTGAGAGGGGGCTTATGCAAGTGCCGCCTTGGGGCGTGCGGAAGACTTCCCACTGGAAGAGGAAGTGTATGAGGTGATTGTGTATTAACTCCACGAGTATTAGTTCTCACCCTCTGCCTGGGATCATTAGGGACAATGGCAATTGGCTCCGCCTGAGGTAAAGGCTTGGAAGTATCAGTAGGAATCGGAACACCGACAGTACCACCATCGCCTCTCAAGGCGGTGATGATGTAGTAGCCGGGTTTGGGACCAGGCATAACAATACTGTGAGAGGCTGCAGTAGATGAGTGGGGAGAAATGAGCAGGGCTGATTCCTCTGTATTTATAGTAGTTTGGGTTCATAGGCAAGGCTAAAACGGCATTAATCACAACGCCAATAATGACACTGTGGCGCAGATATTTCAACAAGAAACCGGGCTGTAATTTGAGATAAAGCGAGATAGGGAGTGGATGGCTTCCCGTAGCGATTAAACTCCAAATTAACTAGTAGTAATTGACTCCACTATAAATGTTGGTGCGATGGGCAGAAAATGATTGACAATCAAAAATTGAGCGAAAAATGGTTTACACGAGGCCCCGGTGTGATTGACGCTACTTTGCGCTGTAATAGACTGTAATGCAGATTACAGACACACTTTTAGTACAGCCGTTTCCTTTGAATCTTCACTTCCTTCCTTTGAACCCTCAGGCTCCCCACGCGGGTCCCCAGGAGCAGCTTGGAATGAGCCTGAGGAACCCGAGCCTCGTACACAGTGCTGACTTGCATAAGTTTGCTAATAATCTGATTCCAGACACCGCAAGGAGGATGCGGGAAAGAGCTAAGAGCGAGCCGAAGTAAAGGCACTTTCAACTTACTGGCATACAGGATACTGAGGTTATGTGAGAAATGAGCTTAAGGAACCCGAGCCTCATTGCAGCTTGCCTCAAGGCCCCCCTTAGATTTCACATCTTGACTTGCATAAGGATTCTGATAATCTGATTCCAGACACCAGACGGCCAAGGAAGACGCGGGAAAGAACAAAGAGCGAGCCGAAGTAAATTGCAATTTCAGGATACCGAGGTATGTGAGAGCCCTATTGACGTAACTACTACGAACAGTCCCAGTCACTTATTGCACCTAGGTATGTCGCTAGTCCTGGAATCTACTGAAGCGGACTTGTTATTGCAGTGGTACGTATATAACAATACCGCCTCATTGACGACGGACCGGCTTCAACTCAAAATGTCGAAGCTGTAAGCTGTCTGCAAATAATAACTTGCAATAACTTTCACGCTCGGCGTCACATTTGAAAATATAGCACTGTTGCTAGTGCTGTCTTCTAGCCACTGGATCGCAACCTTCACTGTTGATCATATGGCTGTAAGCAGTCGGTGGAGTGTGTAAGTAGATGAAGTTGATCTCGACTTGATCTGTTCATTGTACAACTAAAACAACCCTCGCAATCAACCCTCGCAATCAGCTCTACCAAGATGGTCGATCCTTTCCGACTCTTTTCACTACGTGTCTTCTTTCTACACCTGTAGCGCAGTTTTACGTTCACCATCATGCTTTGATTCTCGACAAGTAGTTTACCGATGCACCCCATGATGTCTACTATCCAACACGTTTAAACTTGAACAATTGTGGAAGTGTGGCTTTGGGAGGATGACTCTCGTTGAGTTGGAGAGTCGTAACAGTAATCTGAAGAAAGAAAAAAAAAACTGTCAACGCATGCGAAAAACGTCAAATCACAACAACTTACAAGCACCTCTGTCTCTGGGTCTTGCTCTGGGTCCATCGTCCACGCCTGGGATCCGTGATACCGGTGAATGCTTAGAATAAATAATAACCAGTCAATATACAATGTTTACTCATACGTCAATTCGAATTGAAAGCAACCTACGCATATACCTGGTTGTCAAACCCGTGAGTTCCCACTCAACATCTTGACCCTGACCATTGGTCGCGACTACAAGATTGTCATCCTGAACGCCAGTATACATGTAAGCACTTGAGATGGGGCTTATTAAGTAAGTGCCGCCGCCCTTGGGCATGCGGATGACTTCCCACTAGAAGAGGAATTGTATGAGGTGACTATGTATCAACCCCCCGGCGAGTGTTCATCTATCAATTCTCACCTTATGCCAGGAATCGCGAGGGACAATGGAAAGTGGCTGCATCGGAGGGTCGGGCTTGGAGGGCTCAGTGAGATCCACAACACCGACAGGACCACCTTGGCCTCTCAAAGCGGTGATGAGGTAGACGCCGGGTTCTGGGCCAGGCATAGTAATACTGTGAGAGGCTGCGATAGATGAGTGGGGAGAAATGAACAGGGGATGGTCTTATGAATTTATAGCTTCCAATTCATAGCCAAGCTAATAAAATGGCATTAATCACAGAGCCAACGACACTGTGGCGCAGATATTTCACAGAATTCAGACGATAAAGCGAAATAGGGAGTGGATGGCTTCCCGTAGCGATTGAAATCCAAATTAACTCCACGATAATAATGTTGGTGCGACGGGCGGAAAATGATTGAACGGTAAAAATCCAAGCTCTACAGAAGAGGTCCCTCAGGGATTGACGCTATGTGGCACTGTGATGCTGGTTGCAGACACTTTTAGTCTAGCTGTTGGGTCCCTTTATTTGAATCTTCCCTTCCTTCCTTCCTTCCTTTAAACCTTCAAGCGCCCCATAAGTCCTCAAGACTCAGGAGCAAAGAACAAGCTTGAAGAACCCGAGCCTCGTTGCGGCTCGCCTCAAGGCCCCCCTGAGATTTCACATATTGACTTGCATAGGTATTCTGATCATCTGATTCTAGATAATCCGGTTCTAGACACTACAAGGAGGATGCGGGAAAGCAGCGAAGAAGTGACTGCACTTTCAAGCTACCGTACTCATATTTTCTTGTACAAGATATATATCACGACTACGATGTTACATATTTATGATCAACGTTTTTCAAAGCCAAGCCCTTATGTTATTCAATGCACTAGTGAACCCCAGTTACGTCCACTAGTCAAGACGGCTAAACTTGAACAATTGTGTGGGTTTGGGAGGGAGATTCTCGTCGAGTTGGAGAGTCGAAACAGTAATCTGAAGAAAAAACAAGAACAAAAACAAAAGCTGTCAAACACATGCGAAAAATGTCAAATTGTACAAAAAGAAACTTACAGGCGACTGTGTCTCTGGGGTCTGCTCTGCTTCTACTGTCCAGGCCTGAGATCCACGGGACCGGTGAATACTTAAGAGTAAATAATACCCAGTCAATACACGATCTTACTTATGAATCAATTAACATACACGTATAGGTCGGGAGCCTGATTGTCGAACCCTGTGATTTCCCACTCAGCACTTTCGGTCCGGTCATTAGTCGCGATTACGGAGTTGTCGTCTTGAACACCAGTCAACATGTAAAAACTTGAGACGGAGGTTATCATGTAAGGGCCGTCTTGGAGTGAGCGGAAGATATGCCACTGGAAGGAAGTGTATGAGGTGACTGTGTACTAAGCGAGTATTCATATAGTAGTTCTCACCTTGTTCTGCAAGAAATCGTGTGGGACAGTGACTAGTGGCTCCGACTGAGGAGGCCTGGAAGGATTAGTGGGATTCGGAACACCGACAGTACCGCCTTGGCCACACAAGGAGGTGATGATGTAGACGCCGGATTCTGGGCCAGGCATAGTAATACTGTGAGAGGCTGCGATAGACGAGTGGGAGAAATGAGCAGAGCTGGTCTTATGTATTTATACCTAGGCCTTCGGGTTCATAGGCAAGTTAAACAAAATAGCCCCGTTCAATGTTGACGTAGCGACGCTACTGAAACCGCTATGACAAATTGCTATTTCACGGCTCCTTCGGCTCGTATGTCAGGCCATCAATCCAACATCAATCCGCCGAGCTTGTGACAGCGAATTTATTCTGACCCTTCAAATTCTACAAGCTCAGCTTCGAAAAAATCTTTTTGTGGCTCTTCTCTCCAACCTTCCTTCTCCAAGATATAATTCTTATCCAAAATGCATTATTTTATACCATCTTTGAACCGCTGTAATAATTAGAGCCAGATTAGAGCAGTTCATCGCAAGTTCATCCATCACCATTCACCGGCCAGAGGACAGAGGTCACACGTCACTTAGTCTTGATCGAATTTTCTTTTCATCAGTCACAGCCTCTCACAGGTCAAGCTTCACAGGTCACACCATAACGGTCAGTTCTGATTCTCTAAGAGTCAAGACAGCAGGCTAAAAGGGTGGAAAGTGAACAAATCCAGTAACTACTGTTATATTTGGCTAATTTTACTTTTTTTTGTTTGTTCAAAGATCAATTACTTATTAGTTGCCTGTTTTTCCAAGGTTTTCCGAGAATGCCAAGAGAATGCATCTCCTGTAAAAGCGCTCGTAGCGCTTAACTTGACAACTTTGATGTGTTCTCGGCAGAACGATGGCTTGACATACAAGCCGAAGGAGCCGTGAAATAGCAATTTGTCATAGCGGTTTCAGTAGCGTCGCTACGTCAACATTGAACGGAGCTAATAGCATCAATCACAACGCCAATGACACTGTGCCGGATAAAGCGAAATAGGGAGTGGTGGCTTCCGGTAGCGATTATTGAACTCCAAATTACATCCACAATCAAACGTTGGTGCGACGGACGGAAAGTGATTGACGGTCAAAATCAAGCGAAAAATGGTTTACAGAGGCCCAGGGATTGGCGCTATGCACTGTAATGCCAGTCGCAGCTGTTGGGTTTCTTTAAGTCATCATTCCTTCCTTTGAACCTTCAAGCGCCCCACACACAAGTCTCTAAGAGCAGCTTGGGGCGAGCTTGGGGAGCTCGGGCTTCATGCGTGTTGACTTGCATAACTATTCTGATAATCTGATTCCAGATACCACAGGTACAATGTGGGAAAGAACGAAGAGCGAGCCGAAGTAAACTGCACTTTCAACTTGCGTAACATATGTCAGAGCCCTATTAACGTAACTAGTCCTGGAACTCGGTATTTCAATGGTACCGGTACTCAACAATAACCGCCTTTTGACAAATACTAATAGTACATATGGCTGTTGTAGATGACTTGTAGATCACATATTCGAGTCGGGGCCTCTGTAAATCACGCGGGTTCCGAGAAGAATTTCCTTTTTTGAAGCTAAATCGTTGAGCTCTCGTCGTCGTTTCCTTCATCGTCGTTACATAGGTCAAGAAAGTCGAAAGTGTCCTTGTTACGCATAGTCAGTAAAACAGTAGAGTTTGCACATCTCAATTCTGACTTGAAAACTCAGACCAGCGTCATCGTTGTGTCCCAACGCAACTCCAACGCAACCCGATAGGCAAACAAGAAAGGTATGCATCACGTACGTAGTACCCAGCTCAAGACTCAACTGAGGGATATCGACCTCGCACCCTTGGGCTCTTCTTACTTCAACTTTCCACAGTTATAACAGTTCGCACACGGGAACCAACTCTGCCATGGGGCGGTTATAATAATCCTTAATAAGAAGATATTCAGATGACAGAGGAAGAAAGATTTGGAAAGAAAAAACAGAACTGTCTTTCACAATGACTGCCCCAGAGAGCCTCGAACTCTCTGCCTTCCAAAGTTACACCGGTCGGGACGCCGGAACCAGCTCTGCCATGGGGCGGTTATGATAATACTTAACAAGAAGATGGTATTCTGATGGCAGAGGAAGAAAGATTTGGAAGAAGAAAAACAGAACTATCTTTCACGATTATTGATAAACTGCCCCAGAGAGTTTTGAACTCTCCGCGTTCCGAAGGCATAATAGCTGGGACACTGGAACCAACTCTGCCATGGGGCGGTTATAATAATAGTTAACAGGATGGATGATGATGATATCAGAACAAAAAACAGAGATTTTTTAAAATAAACGAAAATGATCCATAGGAGTCAACTGCCCCAGAGAGGCTCGAACTCTCGACCTTCCGATATTACTTGAATATTCTATATACTACTGTAACAGTCGGACGCTGTAACCAACTCAGCCATGGGGCAGATACTTAAAGCGATACGTAGCGCGTCATAGCTAAAGGTCTTACAAGTACAAATATACGTACGGGTTAATCATTAATCGATAAAAAGCACCCAACCTACATATATACATACACCCATCTCTCCCATCCATCCTCTCTCTCCCATCCATCATATTCTCTCTCTCTCCTGAGTCTCTCCTCGAAAAAAAGTTCTAGAACTAAAACGAAACGAAACGCACGCCCCTACCCTACCTCAACCTCCCCTCCACCTCCTCACACATCCCCAGCACCTCCTCAATCCCGGGCGGTCCTTCGGATCCACCTTGAGCATCCTATCCACCATCCCCTTCAGCCCCTCCGAATACCTCGCCGCGCCCGCCTCGGGATGTTTATACTGCGCGTTTAAGACGGCCATGGCGATGGACCCGCCTTGTTCGGTGGTTTGCGTGTTCTCGAAGGGCGAGTGCGAGTAGAGCATGGCGAAGAGGAGGCAGCCGAGGGACTGGGTGTGTGTTTAAGGAGGAGATAGAGAGAAGATGAGGAGGAGATAAAATGAGACGATTAGGTGGTTAGGTGATTGTTTGATTAGGCGATTAGTTGATTGGTTGATTAGGGAATAGCAAGAACACTCACCCATATATCTACCTTTTCATCCAACATCGTTCCTGTTTTCACGTCGAAAAGCTCGGGGGCGCGATATGCCATCGTACTCTGTTCGGCAGCGATGTCCTAGGAAGGAAGGAGGGAGGAGACATTAGCGAATGAAGAGAAGAAAACACAGACGAGGCGCGCGCGCGCTTCACGTTTTCGTGATTGCGATTGCAATTGTGATTGTGATAGAGGAATTGTGAGATTGTGAAGAGACAAACACACCTGCTGGTACAGCGCCTGACTTCGATTCTCAATCTTTATCCTTGCCCTCATCGTTGAGCCGAAATCCATAAGGATGGGCCGCCCGTCGTCGGAAATCATCACGTTCCTAGTGACGAAAGAAAGGTAATCAGAAAGTCGTGAATCAACGGTATTGAAAGAGCAGAAGGAGAGGGAGGGAGAAAATAGCAAGCGAAATCGTAGGAAAGGAAGGGAAAGGAAAGAACACACCCAGGTTTGATATCCCTATGCGAATACGGCACAATTTCACCCTGCTCACCCTGCCCATCCCCTTCTGCCCCGATCCCAGCAACGTCTTCATCTCCATCGAACAACACGTCGTTGCCTCCTCCACCGCCCAGCAGACCCTCACCCTCTCCCTCGCTTGCGCGGTTGATCAACGGCATAGCACTCGACCCCGACGCACCCCGTGTAGGTCGATTCCGACTCGTCGAAGAAGGCCCGTACGAATACCCGCCTTCAGCATCACCCTCTGGCTCAGGGAACCGATGATCATTATCGTCATCTCCATCACCCTCGCCATCCCCATGGCCTGCTCTCCCATTCGACGAACCCCCCGCAGCAGCCTGCTGCGGTTGCGCCCCGCGTCCCTTCCCCTTATCCCCCTTCGGCCGATAACTATGCATCGCCGCAACAGCCTCACACGTGCCCCTAAACAGCTTCACGACCTCGCGCTCGCCAAACGCACCCCCGTTCACCACGTTCGCGTTGATGCGGTCCTGGATGTTCCCGCGCTGGTATAGCGGCAGGAAGAGGTACACGATTTTGCCCTCGCCGTCGGGGTCCTGCACGACGGCGGAGTCGAGGATGTGGATGATGTTGGGGTGCTTGAAGCGGCGGTAGGCGGAGACTTCGCGCATGGCTTGTTTGACGCCGTCGGTGCCCGTGGGGCAGCGAATTTTTTTGAGCGCGAATTGACGCTGGAAGGAGATGGAAGGTTCAAGATGGGTTAATGAGATAAAGAATATACAAAAACTCACCCCACTGGCTTCATCCTGCGCCAAGTACACGAACGAGAACCCTCCTTCGCCGAGGACTTTGATTATTTTGACTAGACAAGATGAGAAATAAGTTAGTATCAGCTCTAGCTAGGGCTCTGGAACCTGCTCCTTGCTTTATGCGTGAACGCAAGACGTATAACGCATACTACCAGCACAGCATAGCATAGTACTAGTATGTATATCCCAACAGGACGTATAGAACAAGCCATAGCCAAGTTCGCACACACAAATTGATAGAAATTCACACTCACATATCCTCCCATTAATCTTCACGCTCGCCGTCTGCTTACACAAACCACAACTGCTCCATCCGGCCGACAGCGCCCATAGTGCATCTTTCGCTTGGTCTTTCAGCGTGTCGAGGGCTCGGGCGAATTGGTGCGACATGGTTTACAGTTAGCCTAGTTTGCAGCAGCCTAGTTTGTAGTAGCCTAGTTTGCAGAAGCCTAGTTTGCAGTTACCGGTTAGGTTTTCGCGGTTGGGTTTTCGCAGCGTGAGAGAGCCGCTGAGATACTGCTGAGAGAGGTGCTGAGAGGCAGAGAGGTGCAGAGAGGCAGAGAGGCAGATGAGAAGTAATTCGAGGCCCCGTTAAAATATAAAGAAATATAGTCTATGAGACTATCGAACTGCCGTTAAGCAGCTGTCAGTTGCAAAGTTGCAATGTGTTCCGCTGGCGCAAGTAATTTGGGCGCTTATAGTTAAGTTCTTGGGCGCTTAGACGAGCACGTGCTTGAATACCTCCCAATACTTCCAGTGAAATTCATTCGACGCTCAATCATCATGCAGGCACTGTATCAAGAACATAAGTGCGTACGCACGTATCCCAACGCTCCCGGAAGAAATCACGTTCTAATAACATTCTTTTCTCTACCAACAACCAAACACCATCTCCTGGCCACCTCGAGCTTAGAATACGGTCTAATCCAAATGAACCACAAGACCTCGTGCCCGAGTACACTCTACGCACCACTACGTGCTTCTCTCTCTCTCCAACTCTAGCTCTATATCTCACACCACAGGTATTTCGAGAACACGATGTCTTGACTCTTCTACCAACTCTGTGACAACTCTTCAGTCTCAATCCAAGCCCGCCGTACTTGCCGCTGTGAAAGCGTGAGTGCTATTAGTTTCAGATCTAGTTCCATAAACAAGCCTGCTGCCAACCCATGTAGTGCCGAAGATTTGAAAATCGACATCGCCTAGGCCAGTGTTGTAGAATTGATCATGACGGACTACGTGCTTGAATATCTTCTCCTCCCAATACTCCCCATTCAACGCTGAATAATCCAGGAGAACAGAGAGATTCAAAGCAAATAAATGCAGAGAGATAGTACAAAATGAGCCCTAAACTTGCAAGCCGAAATATAACACCAAAGAGTACAAAGATCTTCAATCATGCCCGCACACAGCAGTCAAAACCTAGGCCCGTTATTGTATCTACTGCACATAGACCGTCCAAATTCAGACTACAACTTCCTCCTTGTCACCGTCCTTGTGATTGATAGATAGCTCCAGCAATGCCTCCTTCTCCTCCTTCTCCGAGCTATAAACATCATCCACACCGTGCAGCCTATCCAACCCCTTCACTCCACCCTGCCTCACCAGTCTCGCCTCCAGCATAACCATCAGCTTGTCCAACTCCGTCGCGAACCCTGGCGCCTGACTCGTCCTGAGATTGTATATATTCCGAATAGCAACTATGTGGCGTTCACGAGCTTGCGCTATCCAGCTTGCTGCATCGAGGGTGGTTCTTCTATACGCCATAGGCGGGTTGTCGCCTATGGCGCCCCCAATGCCAGGAAAGGGGTGCGTGAGGGGATGCACGCTGTTGGGCAGCGGCAGGTATCTGTCGGAAAACGAATAGATATAAAAGCGCAATGGGAACGCCCCGCCGGGGTACAATGACCAATCGCTGCGAACATGCTTGACGGAGTCAAGCCGCCTGATCCACGACAGCTCGTTCATTTCTCGCACAAAGGTCCGCGCAGAGCTCGTGTACGTGATGGCTGACCGCGTGTCGATGTTGAGCCGTGGATCGTCGAGCGAGGACGCCCCGACCTGGATGCGCCGGAGGGTTGTCCACACAGCATGCATGTGCAGAAGCAGGCCGTAGAGCTCCATCACGAGGAACATACCCTGCACGAAGTCGTCAACGTGCAGCACAGCAGCGTTCTGGCGGAACAACAGCGAGGGTCTCTACGCGCATGTGGACATCCTGGATTGCGGTATTGAGGTTTCGGAAGACGTGGTGGAATTCACCACTTGGGGGGTGATATCGTTGTCGTCGATGACCGCCCGTCGGGAGATGGCGGGAAGCCATACGTCGTAGAAGTTGAGCCGGGTGGACTGGAGGCGTGCAACTTCGACTTCGGTAAAGAATCTCACGTCGAAGGAGACCCCCGAAGTCCTGGAGCGTTATCACAATCTGTGAGCCGGACGGGAAAAGGCTCTGGAAGGCCCCGACTACAGTGATAAGATCGCCGATCGTGGAGATGAAAGCGACGAGTGAGGCCATGATTATGTTCCTTCCTGAAAGCTTATGTCAGAGATTCAAACTTACAACGAAGTGTTTGCACCGGAGAAGTCGTGAAAGTGATTTTGTGCAATATGCTGATAGTTGATGATTTGTTTGAAAGGCTGACGCCCAGAGCGGTTGGCTGTTTACCCAGTACTAGTGGGATCTGAGTGGCATGTGCAAGCAAAAAGCTGCTTTTATCGTCTCACTGGGAGTCGGGAGTTTGAGCGCTACATACTAATGACTTGCAGCTATTAAATCTCCGAGATATCAGCAGCATGCAGCGAAGTATTTATTTTCCGACAAGAAAGGAAGTCAGCCTGGTCTAAGGTCCTCAAAGGAACACAAGTACATATGCAACAATCTTCTATTTGGGAACCACGCCGACATTATCAAGGAACTTGAACACTTATTGAGGGGCTAGAGGGTGAGTGAGGGGCAAGGTGAGCATCTGAGCTCATCATACATCTTTACTACGTTATTGATGCTTTAAAAGATCGCTGTACCTATCATTAACCCACAGTTAAAAGCAGATTAATCAATAGTAGCACATTGCTTCGGAGAATTTTTGCAACTAGAGAGTGCCATTCGAGAAATGGTGAGTCACTTGACTGT